ATTTCTGGTTATATACTCGATGGCTACAAACTAATTTATAAATTGACGCTTTCTAATATGGGTAGATGACGCTAAACCATTGACTTACAATTATATGGACGTCGGGTCCGCCCTAAAACAGTGTCCGAATTTATAGGGCGTTAAAATCGTATACAGAGCGTCATTCACGCTTTAGTCTTCGTTTGTTTGACTGACAGCGAAGCAAGCAAAATTAGACAGTACTGCGATGACATTACAATTTAAAAGCTTTTTCATATTCCTTTACATGTCACGACGTTTAAATAGGTTGACTTGGGACATTTTTTTCGTGGTTTTTGTATTAGACCCGTCGTCCATTTATTTGTAAGTCAATGCGCTAAACCATAAAAATCTGTGCAATAAGCGCTATGTAGTTGATTTGTTTGTTATCATAAGAAATTTGAGTAGCTTTGATAAATTGCATCTTATCAATGTAAAACAAATTCGTTACAAAATAGCTTTTTTTAAATGGGTACTAAATACCCGACTACGCTGTCTTGTAACGCGATTGGATACTCTTTGAGTTCTTGCTCTATGCTTACAGTTCTTACAATATTCCAATAAATTAAAATATTGTGAAGATTTAATCTAATTCCACAACTCATTACGAGTCAACATTGCTTGCAAAAACAACATAAATAAAGATAAATATAAACTTATAAAAAGGAAATATAAAAAAGTTAAATAAACAAAAAAAAATAAACGCGAAAGAACAAGGATCTTGGGCAGTATTTTTTTGATTCATGTTTTAATAGTAATTGTTTTACGAAATTTGTATAGCGAAATATATTAAAAGGCAAGGGAACAAAATCGAAGCTCCCAGGTTCGATATCTGATAGAACCAGTTAAAGTATAAAACTTTTTTAAATTGTAATTACGTATTTATTGAATGTCAGGATGTTTTATTATATTTTGTAATAAGTAATCGACATCCCTAGCCAGCTGCTAGTAGCTGTATAGGTACCTAACTGGGTGAAGAAATACTTTCATATATTTCTCACAGATGGCACTACGGCACAAAAGTTGTTAAAAACCAAAAACAAAGACGTGGCTTAGTTGGCATAGCATAACACGGCTTAGCACGGTTTGCTAGAAGATGTCGGTTCGAATACGGCCGGATTGAAGGGTTTTTTTCTAAATAATCTTTGTATTAATAATAGTTATTATAGTATAACCTTTTTAAAATTTTGAATTTTGTTACTCGTGTACCTGTTCACAAAATTTTTTCTACGAATGCTAAATTATTTTGACGATATCGGTGGCCCAGCAGTTGGCAGCAAAGGTGCTAGACGATGAGGTCCTGGAGTTCGATTCTCGATAATACCAACTACCTAACCAACCATGAAACTTACCTATCCTGTTTCCATTGCAACCACCACTGGTGGATATCATCGTCGGCGTTCACAAACAGCGCCTTCCACGGCCTCGTGACAAAAATCTTCTGAAAGAACACCTCGCTCATGTACAGGATAGTTACGATGGTCAGCAGACCAATGACCTTGAGAGCCATGTACAGATACTGGTATGGCTTCGATTCCAGAGTGTGCGTCGACGATTGCGTTATGTGCGGTGGCAGGGCGAAAATCACGAACATCTGGAAGAAACGATCTGGTTATTCTTCCATACAACTTGGCCCAAAACATGTATCTCAAGTACTATCACATATTCAAGAAAAAAAAACTAGTTTTGTTTCCTAGACGCCAAGTCTAGTGATGTGACATGTTATTAATTTTAACCTCATATTAATTCGATTCTCCTAAGTTAAAGAAAAACATAACGGAACATAACATGCTACTATGAATCCATACTCAACTAGAATATGCAAATAACACATGGCTTCATTAACGCTTTAAAGCGTCTATGGTGGTCAAAAGGTTAAAATAATAACACCCTTTTTATAAAAAAAAAAACTAACCTCAAGAGTTCGTGGAATAACATCTAGTATTTGCTAAGTTGTATTAAAAACGATTAACGAAAAGTGGTCCCCTAATTTGCTACCCCTAGATGTGGAATATTTTCTTCAAATTAAAATTGGGACCAAAACCATCCAACAAAAAAAGAATCATCAAAATCGGTTCACAAATAAAAAATAATATTTTTTCACAGATAAATTGATACTATGAAATAAATTATAATCAGCTATCATAAAAGAAGAAAGAAACTTTAACTTACCAATGTATACCAAAACGATACCAAAGGTATGAAACTGTAGAACTGGTACGGTCGATTCATCGTCAAACACAAGACGACGGTCAGAAAATTAAGTCTAAATATGACTCGAAAGTATCTGACTAGACCCGTGTCCCCGGTTTTCCAAGTGTAGCAGAAATGGCCGTAACCGGTCAGGAACAGGTACGCGGACACTAACGCCCGGACTAGCATGTATATTGGGAGCACTTTGCTGGCTCCTGTCACTTGATACACCAATATCACTAGTTGCATCCAGCCCTTCCACTCGTTGGTTTGCTCGCGGTGGAGAACTCTGAAATAACAATAATTTTATTTATTTATACTTCAGACAACATGTTACGCCCGCAATGTGTTATAGTCGTCACAATGTAAGAGGCCCAATTTGACAGCTAAGAAAAACTAGTATGTAACTTTGAATCCAATCAACGAAACAGTAAACAAACAATTATTATGGGAAATAATACTATTTTTTCGGATTTAAATCGCGTATATTTGTTTTTTCAAACAAAACGACGTTTCGGACCTTTTACAGGTCCCATGGTCACGGTTGACACACCTCGGTTGATGGGACCTGTAAAGCGCCTAAATATACGCGATTTAAATCCGGAAAAATAGTTTCATTTCCTATGTGTAACAATCGCGAAAACCTAAGAACTCGAAACGATTATTAACTTACCGGGTTTTAAAAAAATACTTTAATTTTAAAGAAAAATTATATTTATTTATTTACTTTATTCACAATTAAAAAGTTTACAAAAAGAAACACAAAACTGCGAATAAAAACCATTAACAGGTTTATTTATAGCTGTCATCACATGCTATCAGGCGTCTAACAAAATAATTAGTATCTAATAATTTAAGGAACTTACACTTAAGAACTATTAACTTTCACAATTTGACAAATTAATTGAATTAAAAATGACCGAATTCAGAATATGACAAAATTAATGAAACAAATATTAGACAACATTACATACATACGTTGCTCTGATCCCAAAGTACTAACACTTGTAATATGGAAATCGGAAACAACAACGGTACCACGAACACCCAGACCCGAGATAATATGGAAAAATGTGGAAAACTTTTCCTATATTAACTCGGCAGGGGATCGCGCCCGGGACCTCAGAGATAACACCTCTACAAACAACGAGAGATCCTCAAAGTTTGTTGATCGTTGTACACTCGACGGAAGAAAAAATTAACTAATGCTTACCTACTAGGTTTAGAGTCCTCAGTGAAAAACAATCCCAGAGCAAAAATATACCCGACCGGCAACCAGAAACTCCATTCTGAATAATATTTATTCTCTTTCATAAAGAAATTTGTTCGATCACACAGATAGAAGTACGCCATGATCATGCCCAGCTTCGCCAGAGCCGAGAGGGGGGAGGGCTCGGGGGGCCTGGGTTGATGGACGAGGGTGTAACCCCCCATTCGTTGTTTTATGGTTTGGGAGCCGCGCCAAAGCCCTCGAACTCCAGCGAGCACTGCGCTAGAAACATATTGATTTTGTTACAATAGGGAATCGGACAACGTTTAAAGAAAATACTTTAAATTAACCACATTGGATACGCATACCAGCTATAGAGCTCCTTGTGAAAGAGTTCGTCCAGGGAAGTACTGCCACCTTACCTATTTCTGCTGCCAAGCAGTAATTAAGCATTACTGCGTTCCGGTTTGGAAGGGTGGTGGACTCCAATTCAGAACTCTTCGGTATTTTAACCGAATCGTTCGATTGAATATTGTTCTCGAATCAATAGGCGCTTTCCAAGCTATTCAGAACATTCGAGTTAAACGTTCAATTAAGACTCGGATACGATATCATTATCCAACAGCGTTTCGGGAGTTAGTCGGTGAAATAGATTATAAGAAAAATGAAAATCTATAATACTTTAAGGGCTTAAAATATATGAACGCATTAGTCTTGCATTAAAATAAATTAATAACATTGAACAAAATCTAGATTTAATTTAAAATAATAAGAGATTTCCACATTACATTCTTGCTTTGTAAACAATAGGACGTTCGGTAACTTTAATTCGATAACTGTGCTCTGAATAACGTTTGTAGCCTTTGGCGGTCGAGACGTATGAGTACGGGTGTGACGTCATTTCGGTTTGGTTTCGAATATGACAGTTTGACATTCCATTCGGTTAGATAAAAATGAAAACAAAGCGGTCGACTACTGAGTTATTGTAAGGTTCTGAATCGGCCTCCAGGTGAATTTACAGGCACATGGGATTTGTCAACTTATGTCTCAGGGTGACGGGTGCAGCGGCAGTGCCACTCAGATCTTTGCGATTTAAAGCTTTGAGTGGCACTGCAACTGCTATGGATACGCATGTTACTTAACCACCAGGCGCACGACTTGCTCGAATAGATAAAGCAGTGTATGTAACACTCGTGTGATGTTTTTATGAAACTCGCCTTTCGGCTCGTTTGTAAGCCCACACCCGTGTTAAAGCCTTTCATTATGTAACAGTCACATAAACTACTAGTTATTATACAGGGTGTAAATTTGAGACGGGGCAGTAAGGCCACCTTAGTCGTTGTATTTAGGGGAAAACGGTTCTATAGGTAGTCAGCAAGATAAAAGGCAATTTTTACAAAACTTTTTTTTTATGCCATTCGATCCGGTCTCTGTTAAGGATCAATAGTGTCTATGCGACCAACTGAGGTAAGAGTACTCGAAATGTCAGAAATCGCAAAAACTTTTTGCCATACATTTTGTAGGGACATATTTAGTAATCAGTTATTCTAGGTAGTTAAGGAAACTAACAAATTGACAACATATTATGTATTAGTTAAATGAAATTTATAAAAAAATGCAACAGTGTTCAACAATTGAAAGACGCACTTGCAGCAATTTTCAATAGAATCCATCCGAGTAAAATTTCAACCGCTACTTGTTCTTTGCGGAAGATAGCGAATCGATGCATCCGCCAAGGCGGCAATCAATTCGAGCACTTACTATCATACATTTTTTATGTTATTTTGCTTTTTGTTATTGTTTTTATTTTGAAATACAAAATATTTTCAAAGTTGTCAATTTGTTAGTTTCCTTAACCTAGAATAACTAATTACTAAAAATATGTCCTTACAAAATGTATGGTAAAAAGTGTTTTGTGATTTCTGACATTTCGAGTACTCTTACCTCAGTTGGTACCATTCAGACTATTGATCCTTAACAGAGACCGGATCGAAAGGCATAAAAAAAGTTTTGTAAAAATTGCCTTTTATCTTGCTAACTGTACCATTTTTTCAAAATCTGTTAATGCCAATCAAAATATCTTAAAAATTCATAGATAGTCTTCTAGAACCGTTTTCCTGTAACTACAACGTTTAAGGTGGCTGGCCTTGCTGCCCCGTCTCAAATTTACACCCTGTATAGTATGTTGATTTGCATTCTCGCCATAATTAAGAAGTTAATCATAGATATAATGCTAAATCAACTAAAAATATTTTAAAAATTATTCTGTTCAATATACTGGCTAATTGTGTCTAGTAAAGTTTTGCAAAATTGTCTCGAAGTTGTGTGCTCTACGCAATGGCAGTGACTCGGACACCCGCTTCACCGAGAGATACGTAATCTTTCTCGAACCCGAGTTTCGTTTCAACATTAGACTCCACAACTTTGAAAGCAGACACTTCGACACTCGTATCCTCCGCGTAAACCAAACGTTTCATATCATGCTTTAAGAATAGACACGCACTTGTACTTGGTAGATTACCACGCAGGGTCTGCTGAACCTGGTAGTGGTTCTTTTTTTTTTGCACTACTAGCTCTTGTTTACATACCAAACCAAACCACGTGGCATTTCGTGAGAGACTAGAATAGAATTATGTGGGGTGTTAGCGTGACATAGACATAGGAAGGGAAGTAAGATCGTCTGATCTACCAATCGCGCGCTCGATACGACACTTCCCGCACCCCACCATTAAATTAGATCTAAAATACGATTCTTTCTGTGCATTTAAGGTCATTGTTCAAAATGTTGGCAAGTGCCGTGCAAGTCAACCTTTGGATCAAATTTGTTTGCCGCAATTAAATAAAAATATAAATTTATGAAATCTTTTTTCGATTTATTTTATTAGTGATTTGGGTTTAGGGGGTCTGCTCTCGATTTCCGTCCGAAACAATTACTGTCAAATAAGTAATATTCGACAAAATTAAAAGACAAGTATCAAGTATGAAGCTTCATTCGCATCACGCGTCTTTTCAATTGGTATAAGTATTGCTTATTTGGCAGTAATTGTTTCCGACGAAGGTCGAAAGTAGACCCCCAGTTTCGGATGTAGAATGACCTCTGTACATATGGCGAGAATGCAACACATTGCACAAAGTCCGTAAGGGCGAGGAAAGCAGCAGAGGGAGAGAAGAGAGAGCTCACCAGAGCAGGAAGAGCGCCTGCGTGACGAGCTGCAGCCGCGTGTGCGGCTCGGGCGCGGCGCAGCAGGAGCCGTCGTGGAAGTTCATGTGGTCGTTGCAGAACATGTTGAAGAGGATCTGCGCGCAGTGGCGCAGCGCGCGCTCGCCCAGGCGCGCGCCGTCGGGCGCCAGCGACCCCGCCGCCACCAGGCGCGGCGCCGACCACAGCCGCGCCGCGCTGTGGCTCAGGATCTAAGCCGCCGAGGCGAAAACGATCTAGGCTCAGCCGCGGGAACGACTTGTCGCTAACCGAGTTCTTGGGTTTTCGCGATTGTTGCGCACAGGAAGCGAAACTATTTTTCCAATGACCGTGGCCACCTGCAAGGGCCCGAAACGTTGGTTTGTTTGAAAAAAACAAATATACGCGATTTAAACCCGGAAAAATAGTTTCATTTCCGACTTGTCCCTAACTTGACCAGAAATAGAGACGAAATCTGCCGTCCACTAACTGAAACGCGGTTAACAACAAGTGTATTGGACAAATGGTCAAATAACCATTTTAAATAGCAAAAAATAGAGCACGAAATTCTCTTTTAAAAAACAGTTCAAATTAGTTAACGTCATGTTGTATGGATCAGAATGTTGGACGATGAAAAGGGAGGATGAACGAACTGTGCATGTATGGAAATGCGAATGTTGAGATGGATGTGTGGAGTGACGAGAAAGGATAAGATAAGGAATGAGTACATCAGGGGAAGTTTGAAAGTGGTGCCAGTGACGGAAAAGATGAGGAGTAATAGGTTAGCATGGTATGGAGATGTCATGCGGAGGGAAGAGAAGAAGAGTGCTAGGTATGAATGTGGAGGGATATAAGGGGAAAAGAAGGTCAAAGAAAAGATGGATGGATTGTGTGAAAGATGACATGGATAAGAAAAGTGTGAGTATAAAAATGACGGCTGATAGGGGAGAGTGGAAGAAAAATGCATGTTGTGCCGACCCCACCTAGCATGGGATACGGACAGGAAGAAGAAGAATTAAAATTAGTTAACGTGTTCGGCTTATCGGAACTTACTCTAACGATGCATAGTTGAAATATCATCAAACCATTTGAATATTCTAAAACTGGGTTATGGTTTTTAATAATATCTCAAACAAATATTTTGTCGGCAGAAATAAGGGTCATCCATCGCCGGCAACTCATTAGGCATATGGACCTTATATTACTTTTAAATATCAACTCTCGTTTGCGTTCAAATCACAAATTAGGAAGCTGAAATAGCACAGCGCCAACAACTGACCTGCGTGTACGTCTCCGTATATTCCAAAAATATTCTTCATTTATTGTAATAAAAATAATATCTCTAACAATATATCTGTTCCGTTCGGTGATGTGGGAAAAGCAGCAAAACATCTAATTACATTTTATCAGTTATTAAATATGTAATTATGCAATTATCGTCCAATACAGCAAAGCTCAAGTTAAACTAGTCTATTTGGAGTAAAATAATTGACGACACTCGTCAATGTTTCGAATTCGGGCTGGCCAATCGGAACGGAGTCATCACCATAATTATTTGGCAGATTAGTTTCCAAACAAATTAAATGACATTTCATCTCTATGTCTGGTTATATACTCGATGATCCTAGTTCTAGTTATTTTGTTGATGTGGTAAACCGTATTATGACATTTTATTAGTAATTTCAAGCTACTTAGATACATCTTGACATAAAACATCAATAAGGTTAAATAAACATAAAATATGAAATAAAACACAAAAAAATTTAAAACCTTAAAAAGTACCTTGTGGAAAATACTTTTTATAAATTAAACTTCTTTTTAACCGACTTCAAAAAAGGAGGTTCTAATTCGACTGTATGTTCTTTTTTTTCTTTTTCTTTTTTTTTGTATGTATGTTACGCGATAACTCTGGTATTTGTGAACCGATTTTCACGATTCTTTTTTTGTTAGAAAGGGGGTACTTCCATAGTGGACCCATTTCATTTTGAAGAAAATTATCCACCTCGAAGGGTGGCTGTTCACGCATGAAGATTAACTTTTGTAAATAGCGCCTAACTTTAATTTAGGAGCAATTACTTTAATGGTTGATTTTGCTATTTCTTCCATTCAAGGCGTTTTTCTCTCAATATACTTTGAGTACTGTCGTAGTGAAAACCTATTTTTATTATCTCCAGCGTCAAGTCCTGTATAGTGGCGAACTAGGGGATATTTCAATAAAACTTAGCAAATAGACTAGACTAATAGATAGAGTTTTTTTAGTACTCTGTACTGAGATTATTCACTGATAATAATACACAAATACTTAAATAATTTTCAACAATTAACACTATATATTTATTGACACCATATTTAACATTGTTTACATTGTAATGGTTATATAATTTGTAGATTAACATTATTTTTGACTTAGGTATGAAATGTAACGTTATTTCCTTGCCTTTCATTATATAAGTTGTAGTTAATGTATTATTGTTATTATATCTATTTTTAACCGACTAGGAGGATGTTCTCAATTCGTCTGTATGTTTTTTTTTGTATGTATGTTACGCGATAACTCCGCCATATGTGAACCGATATTGATGATTCTTTTTTTGTTGGAAAGAGGTACCTCAGAAGTGGTCCCATTTCAATTTGAAGAAAATATTCCACCTCTAAGGGTAAACTAGGGGATGAATGACTTTTGAGGTCGGTTTTTTTAACCGGAGGTTAGGTTATTGATTCTCGCCTCTCCCGAGAGCTAAAAGATTAATTTTGAATTTTTAAATCAGGCGCACGACTTCTTCATCTCGTCACTTGATGTAGAGGCCGTTTACCTTTTCTTCAACACAGCCATTTATTTTTTGTCAATATTTCAATTTTTTTTTTTGTGTATCGTTGTAATAATTATTAATACAAAGTTCGAACACGGTATGTATTCATAATTATAACAAACTAGTGGAGTAATTTCACAAAAAATAATTGAATATCAATTCAATAAAAATTTAATTATCGTTGTTTAATGTTTAAAAATTAAGTCTTTTTTTATTTAATATGACCACCAATAAACGGTCGCAGACTCGATCTGGACCTCGGTTGGTAAAAGTATTAATTATTTTTTTAAATAACAGCGATTGGTAAAATCTTGTGCATGTATAAAAACCCACTCACCTCAATAGAAGCTCTATTATATGCATCAATATCATTATTACTGATCTTCTTGCCCTTCATTTTGCCTGAGTCGACTGGTTCCAGAAGCTTCCACAACACTTGAGTGCCTCGTGACGTCACGAAGTCTATGGGCTGCACTAGTTGCGTTAGATTCCTATGAAACACATCGAACTTGTTAGAAGCTAGTAAAGGCGGAACGCTTTTTTTGTCAAACACAAATTTCATGTATAATTATGATGCAGCATCATTGACATATACCACCCATTCGCACTAAGCGTTTTCTTCCTCCTTTCTGATGCGTGCGGCAAAGGAATGGAATGCTCTACCAGCATCTGTGTTTCCCGAAAAGTACAATTTGGGGCTATTCAAGGCTAGAGTGAATAGGCATTATTTTAGGTAAACGCGTACCATCGTCGGTCACATCGTCGCTTAACATCAGGTGAGATTGTAGCCAAGCGTGTGTCTATTCTGTTCTATTGAATTATTTATAAAAAAAAGAGACCACGTCCCAAAAGCTGTCTTCCACAGCCGTCAATATTGACGAATATTAGTAGAAGAAAAAAAAAAGAAAAAAAAACGATATGTATATATACCTTTTATATTCCTCTAATGCTAAGTCTGTTGTATTTCTAGAAAGTAACAGTTGCAAACCAATGCTGGCCACAATTACTGACGGTGGTTTGTCTGATCGCTGCCTGCGTTTAGGAAAAAAAAGAAAAAGTTAGAAAAAAAATGCCCCAAAAACGAGGCTTTAATTAGTTATAGTTCTCAAGGTGCACCTGCAAAACAGGGCTTCCCTGGCTATGAGTGTATGCTAGCGATGCGCCATTACGAATGATTTCGTTATTCGACTTGTTAGTAGTCGCTAATCCTGTCATTCGAATGTCAAATTAGTAACCTACTAATTTTCATATTCGAATGATTTGAATAATCATTCATTACTAATTATTAGTACTAATTCGTAGATTCCATAGAGCATTTCTGCTCGTGATCACCTAGCCCTCTCTGACATAATGGTAAATATTGTAAATATAACGGGGACAGGGATATTTTGATATGGATATGATGAGGTGTTCCGATATAATGATCATTCCACTCGTGCACCCGACCGAATGGCATTGGCATTCGGTATTGAATCATTGGACTATGATTGTGCTTGGATTCTACTTTGGCGAATGATTTGCCCATTCGAATGATTAGTATTAGTAACATTCAAAGTCGCGCATCGATAGTGCATGCCTTATTATTATACATATTTTAACAAAATATCTATTCTTATATTAGTAGGAAAATAGATCTTAGTCTCTCTCCGTTACAGCTGACTTTCTTAGGAAAAAGTAAAAAAAATTCAAGTGGATCTCCACAAGCAGTAACAACACGAAAATTAATGTTTTTTTTTTTTAAATTAAACCGCTTAACTGAGTCCGTTCCTGAGGTACTAGCGCGGTGGGCACAGATATGTCGCGCTGCATACAGATAATTTCAACAAGATTTTTCAAACGATAATTAACAAAAGTATTTCATTCAATAGACAAACAATTTGGCACTTTTTTCAATCAACTTGTTAATGAATATTTTCAGAAAAATCTTATTGAAATTGTCCCGTGTGGAGCGCGACTTAACTGTCACGTAAACAGGAACCGACTCAATGAAGCGGTAAACCTGTAAAAGACGAACTTTGGCAGTGCTAAGTTACTCCTCTAATCCATAGTACACAGCCTCCCAATCTCTTCCAAGTTTTTGTTAGTACTTAATAAATTAATACTTACGTACCAAGATCGAAAATGGTCTACCATGGTCTTGGAAACGTCATTGCACCATATAAAAGTAACTGACAGACGTAACTTGTGGTCTATATAGGTGTAGTTCGGGCTGTGATGATCTACTGTCGAGTAAGACGAGTCCATGTCTAGGCGGGTTTTTAGGACACCTGAAAAGTAGGTACAAATTAAGGTTAGATTTAAATAAATTAAGAAATATAAAGAAAATATCTTTCATTCATTCTGCATTGAAAGAAAAGCAGTAGTAACTTATATAAAATTGAAAATATATAAATACATACTTTCAATTCAAACACAACTGCAACTTAGCATCATGAAAAAAAAAACATTAAGGGTGCTCTTTTCAAGTTTTGGCATTGTTCGGACTCCACATGTTAGAGCTTATGAAATATTTATTTACATTTGATATACTTATTTATAGTTTTATTTTATGCATTCATTTTATTATAGATTTTGTATAATGTATCAACATTACTTAATATCTGTATATATGTATTCGCATGTACATTTGATCACAGATTACAGAATATAATTTGATACAATAAATTAATCTGTGTATTTATTGAGTACAGTATATTCCATTTTTTTATTTATGTATTTTTATTGCCACCCCAAAAACCAATTTTCCTCTCAAATTTTCAAAGGTTAGTTAGAAGATATCTCTTTATGAGATAAGCTCGCCTTTGTACACAAATATTTAAATGTTTCTGAAAGTTTGTACTTTATGGTACAATAAAGTGTTTAAATAAATATATAAATAAAATAAATTAAACAAATATTTCTAAGAAGAAAGCCGGCCAGTCTTCTACACCAGCCTCATGCCGGTTGGCTTGACTCCACACCTTTTGCTAAGGTTTTTGAAATATTCAAGTTAACGACCTAACAAAGGCTGCTCTCTTTTGCACTAAAACATCCTCTGTGGCCGAACGGTTAGCATGCTGGACTCCCACGCAGAAGTCCCAGGTTCGATTCCCTGGCCGGGAGAAATATATGTATGGCCTACATTTATTTCTCTCGTGAGTTTAGGTGTAATTTGTGGTTGTCTATGTGTGTGTCCATGGCACAGGGTTTCCCTAGTGCAGGTCTATGTTGAGTGTGTGCGGTATTATTATTATTACTTATATATAAAAATGTCAAGGACATAACAGTAGTAGCAGTAGAGCTCCATGTGAAAGAATTCGTCCTGGGAAGTACTGCCACCTTACCTATTTCTGTCGCCAAGGTTTTCAAGGGTAAAGGTGCTGGTGAAATTACGGGCACATGGGACTTGTCAACTTACGTCTCAGGATGACGGGCGCAGTGGCACTGCCCCTCAGATCCTTGCGATTGAAAGCTCTGAGTGGCACTGCAACTGTTATGAACAGGCGTGTCGCTTTCCATCAGGCGCACGACTTGTTCGTCCTGTCACTTGATTTTATAAAATAAAAACAAGATACGAGCAACTTAGGTATGTAGGCGTTAAGAAATGTTAAAATAGAAGGGCCTCGTGCAAAAAGATTCTGCACAGATGTGAGAAGTGAGAGCCAACTATCGTCCATTGGTTTAAGTACTTAAGTAAATGTAAACAATCTTGATATATCTTTTTATTGAAACATATACTTTACAAATCAATAGGTGCAAAAATAGGCATGCAATTTCAAATGAAGCTAATTATTTGTATTTGAATGTTTTACAAGATTGTTTACATTTAGTTAAGTACCTAAACGAATGGACTATAATTAGCAGCGCCCGCCATCCTGATACATAAACTTGACAAGTTTGATTTGTCAGTAATTTCACCAGCGCCCTTCAAATCCGGAGCACGGCAATGTTCACATTAACGCTTGGCGGCAGTACTTCCCAGGACGAACTCCTTCACAAGGAGCTTTACTGTTTCTAAAACAATCACTACCACAATATTGAGAAAATCGGACCGGTTAACAGTTAACTTAAGAAATCATTCTTTAATTGCAATCCCGAATGAATGCTCGTTTACCTATAAAGTATTCATACAGCTGTTCCACTCTGGAGTCTCCGATGAAGGCAAAGCTGTTGTATTTCCCCCAAAAAGCGAGATATCGAAGGCAGCGACGTGCGTCTCTGTAACATTTTAATGTAAATACAGCTATTAATAATATTATTTTCCTTAAGGAACTAGAAATATTATCTATGGACATTAAAATATATTTTTATGATAACAAATAAATATTTTAACACAAATACACATACTTCGTGCTGAATGGCATCATGAAAATTTTATCAACATTTTATGGAATATATGCAGTTAATTACACTTTTTATGGAGAATGGAAATGTTTATGTGAAATTGTCACCATTAACCCATTCTCCTCTAAGGAGAGGGTTTTGATTGTATGGCCTATTCCAAGTATATCACATGTATACCAAAGGTTGTGAACCTTCTTCGACATGCAGGTTTCATTATATTACAGAACTTAGATATTAAAACACATAGGTACATGCCACTACCCCTGTATTAGGGATTCAATTGAAAAGCAATTATTCTCTTACTGGGCTACCATCGTCCTTAATACAATTCAATAATTGTATCTATTGATATCGTAGATATTGTTACCAGGAATTCCTTATGACATTTGTATGTCAAAAGGATTGCTTGTAATATAGTATGTAAGTAGTAAGAGCTTCTGCACATGTGCTATATGGTCCAACTTTACACTGGGATCGTACAGTGCCTTGTGGGCCCATTACTTAATACCTTCAGGGCTTTGTTGAGGCTCCCCCGTGTCTCAGTGCATCTGGCATGTTTGCAAATGTTGCTGTGGACGATTTCTATGCCACTATGCGTAAAATGTCCACATCAATAGTACGCAGAGTGAGGGGTAGCAGTAACAAGATCCTGAAGATGATAGGCAACAGAATGAACGCAGCACTGTTCCGGAGGTTCATTGAGTTACATGTTTTACGTGTGAGAAGTGTGTTATGTTACTAACTTGTATGGACTATGTTCTCTGAAAATAATTTTTATTTTATTTTACATACATACTAACGTTAAACATTTTTAAAGTGTACACACTCATAAGTGCTGTTATCTACTGTGAAATAGATAAATTGATAGGTACTTGAATTAGCATAGATAGCATTAATAAAACTGTCTCAGGCTTATCTCATAATCTTCAATTACACTAATTGAGTTTAATTTAGGGCAGAATTTGGTTAGTTAAAAGTTCATTTTGAATGTGAATGTTTAGATTGATAAAATTAATTTATAGATACGTTGGGCCAATTAACGTTTTTTCAGGCACTTGGCAGTCCTCAAATTTGTAATTATAAAACATAATAATTTATAAATTGGCTGCAATTTTTATAATTAATAAGAAGCTTAAATTTGTCTGTAGTCTAAACCGAATTTCTTAAAGTTATATTTTTTTTCCATTTGCACTGTATAGGTCGAGTCGTTGTCGAATCACCGCCGCGGAATCTCCTGATTAAGAACCACGGACGGGTTCGAAACATGTGGAACACAAATTCGACTTAAATACGTGGGTTATCCGTTAGTTTATGGCGAAGTCTCTCAGTTGTATTACATTATATATTATTAATATATATTGCAAAAATTCTGTGTGATTGGTAATGGAGGAGGGTTAACTTCATATAGTATATCATAATTCTGTTTGGAGAGTGATCATACCAAAAATAATTTGACTATTAGGGTGAGACCAGACGAGCGTAATTTTGTGAGTTGTGAGTTGCGTTTTTTGAGTTGCGCAGTTTGCGCTTGACCGAAATTCGGTTGGAGCACCAGACGAACGTATTTTATTCAGTTGCTTTTAAGCGTTTTACGACGTATTTACGACATATAATAGTGTAATGGATCCATTAAAAATAGTATGCATTTATGAATCATTAGAAGACGATGTTAGAAAAACTTAACTAAACTGGGTACATGCACTCAGTATGAAATGATTAAACTTTTTTGATAGATAGATTTTATTATATACTTTGGTATACGCGGCGACCGCGCGGTTGTATTATAAGAGGAATTTAAATGTTGTTGTACATAAAAGCGTGGCAACTGGGCGGTCACCACGCGGCGGCGCTAACGTGCATTTGAAAAAGATTACGGGAGAGCGAGAAAAATTCATAACTCTAATTATATTTATACTAAAAACTAGAGTTTCAGCATTAATGGAAAATTATAAGAAATAAAATTAAAGGTGAGATTTTTTTCTTTAAAAAATAATTTTCAAGTAACTTAACTGCCTTCATAGCCGAACGTTTACTGCCTCTGTGGCCGAACTGTTACCATGCCGAACTGCTACGCAGTGGTCCCAGATTCGATTCCCGGGTTAGGAGAAATATTTGTATGGCCTACATTTATTTCTCTCGTGAGTTTGGGTGTAATTTGTGGTTGTCTATGTGCGGAGCTATGTTGAGTGTGTGCGTTATTAATAATTAATTTCCAAATGCACATTAGACGTTTTACCTTTCCAACATCAATATGATCAAAGGTTATCTAGAAGAATCAATTTTTCATACAAAGCCCTGGACTAATTTTATGCTTGCTTGTACATTTAATGCACATTGGACAATTAGTGCTTTTTTCATTGTAGTTGGCTGGGTCATAAGAGGTCAATCCAAATTAGAATAGACCATGTGGTCTTTAAACTCATATTGTGTTTTATCTTTCTTTATGAAATTACTTACCAAGATACTGTAAAAATGATTTAGTTATTATATTAACAAAAACAGTCAGGAAAAATTTATATAATTAAAATTGTAAATAGCTATTACGTTTTTGAGTATCTGTGTAGCATACAGCCATAAGGCTGCCATTCATGGTCTCCTTTGTACCGCCCTGAAGAGAGAAGCCAAGTGCAGGAGTCTGGACCTGAAATGTTTAAAAATAGAATCAATTCAACACGCCTTAGTACTGGCTAAAATGGAGTTAGTGAATAGCATGAGTGCCATGTGAAAAAATTCCATGCAAAATAATAAAATATTTGCAAATGAACTCAAGAGATATCTTTTTGTCTCTTAAACAAAGAACAATAGAAAATTATATACACACACAACAATATTATTCTAACTTATTCAACTACATTCTAATCTATTAACTCTATAAGTTTTTTGCACAACAAACATAATTAATCTATTTTAATGCAACAGTAATGTTTTTCCCAGGAAAACCAATATAAATTATGCATGAATAAAAAAGGTTAGAGGTGTATCTAAAATATGTTAAATTCCATTTAGGAAATAAAACCATGATTTCCATCATTTTCACTCTTTTATTTTTATTAATATTTTTACTCTTTTTATTTTTCATGTAAAGTCGGTGTTCTGCGAATGCTTATTTTTTATTCAGTGGGGACACCAGTTGAATAAACAAAAAATATGAGCTAATAATAATAATTTTAACCTTGAATAATTAAGGTGCCAAGCGTAAAAATAAAATGTCAAGAATAATTCATTCTACAGCATTTTACTTTCATATCATTATTTTTTCAAGGTAATCTACAAGCATTGTTTTACATTCATTTATTCCATGAGTTCATAAGAACATAAGTTATCTCTACACTTCTATTGCTATCAAAACACTCAACCATTAACACAATACATTACGGCAGGGTAATAAATACATTGCGAATGGTGCTATTCATTGAGGAAAATAATTCGAATTATTATACTTACCATACCGAAGGTGTAAAATGCCGTGATATCCAATAAACCCTATTACAAGTACAAAAGCGCACAGTTTTGCATTTTCCACGTTCAGCTGGTCTATGAACCATTCTGCAGATGATTTCTTAGTGTACAAAACCATCTCACAACAAAACAAATATACAAACTAAAATTTAGGAATTATACTCTAGGTTAAACCTTCAATTTCTCCATAGACAGTAATTCACTAGAACAATTTCTACAATCATCGTATTACAAACATCGGATACTTTTAAATGAAGCAAAAATGAGCGCGGAATTATTTAAAATACATTCCCGATTGCAATAAAACTTTGCAAAATTCCGCAACATGTAATTAAACGGAAACAAAGAAATGTCAAAGCCAATTTCGCTGTTTAGGCTTTGTGCGTACACTATTATGCATGAAAGAATGCAGCATTGATATACAAACAGTGTACCATATTTGGCTTGTTTAATATATCGATAGCACTATCTGCAACTTAAAAAAATGAAACGTAGTTTAATTATTATTACGTTTTGAGTCTTTATTGTTTGTTGCTTGTTTAAGCCTTAGAGGATGGAAAAAAATAAAAGAAATAAAATATAAGTTTCCATAGTCTAAGGTTTAAGCTGATAGCTCTGTAATTCTACTGCTCAACAAATAAATAAATAAATAATCAATCCGCATGCGCAAAAAGAATTTATGGTTTTTTCACAAATTAATTTTTAATTTTAAGTATTACATATTATGTTTTAAGTTTCTCTATCCTTTGTTGCTTGTTTAAGCTGTTGGCTCAATAGCCAATGCCCAACAAATAAATAATAATCAATCCGCATGAATTCAAATGAAAAAAAAATGGCGGGTTTTTGTAGTTACTCATTTTTCAGATATTAATTTTTAGTTTAATTATTATTACGTTTTGAGTTTCCTAATTGTTTGTTGCTTGTTTAAGCTGATGGCTCTATATCCAATGCTTAATAAATAAATAAATAATAATCAATCCGCATCATAGACAAGACAAGACAAATCGTTTTTCTTCTGTACTCTGTCTACGTAGGTACTTCTTGTTATTGGAAGTGGATTTTTCATTAAAAGTTAACATTTCACAGTTTATGATTATTTCCACTTTACATTTGTGTTGTGGTTTCATTAAATACAACGATCCTAAGTATTAAATGCTTTTTATTGTGACCGATTTACACAACATACAAGTTATGTGACATGACAACACATTATATTGGCAACACTAAACGTCTAAATTGGATTGGAAATGGCCGCGATGTCCCCGTCTGAGGTTTGTAAAAATATTAAATTATTAACTTTTAATTCATTGATAACACTATATTTTTACATATCAACTAGATTATTGTCTATAATATTTATTTGAAAGCCATTGCTGTGGGGATATCTCTGATTTCTATTTATTTTTTATAACATTATTGTGTCATTAATCTTTAAAGATTTTTTTGTCATAATTTCTATTGTTGTGTTGTCCAAATATTAATCCTACGCAAATATTCCTTACTATACATATCATATGAATAATACATACGCACATATGATTGCGGTATGTTAAATAGTTAGGTATTAAAATGTTAAAAGTTGTCGTAGTTATGATTGTGTGATATTTCAGCGAAGATTACAAAAGGAACTGATGTCGTTGATGAAGGAACCGCCACCAGGAGTCACCGTAGACGGAGATCAGGCCAGCCAAAATCTAACACTGTGAGTTTACATGCTCGCTTTATAAAAATTCCGAATGAATATCTACCGCATATACATTAATTTGCGCCCTAATTTGATATGGTCTCGTTTTATTGGTTTAAAAGATATGCGTGAATTGTTAAATATTAAATATAATACACAGTACCCTGAATCACTTATCTATAACGAACAATAATAACTCCAATGAAGGTAGATTACAATGTGATTGCCCTGACTTCAGGGACTGTTTTTCGACGATATTTGTACTATTTCTAGAATACACGTAGCCTCAATTTGAAAGTTTGAGACCACTAGAAACATGACTATCCTTGGAAACAATCTCTAAGCAGGTCCATGTGAATCACATAAAAAATTATCCATGTGCAAAACACACTTGAAGAGTGTATTTTACTCGTAATTTGGAATTAATGAATTATTGTTTTGGAGTATAGTGTGAACACCCACTGGGGTCTCACATCTCTTCTCAACAAAGTTTGTTGTAATTGTGGGTAAATTTCCTTAGTACTCCTTGATTGACTAACACATTCTAATCCTATATTTTGAGTTTCGAAAATGGGATAGAATTTAATCATACCCACTTTCAGACTAACTTTTAAGTTAGCCAGTTAGATGGCTAGGGTTGGTGTTATTTTTAATGTAAATTTATGGCACATCAACCCTGTCCACAAATATTGCAATAGAGCTCATTGTGAAAGAGTTTGACCATGGAAGTACTGCCACCTTACCTATTTCTGCCATCAAGCAGTAACGTGAGCATTACTGCATTCCAGTTTTCAAGGTTAAGTGTGACTTGTCAACTTATGTCTGAGGGTGTCAGGTGCAGTGATAGTGCCCCTCAGAACTTGGCAATTTAAAGCTTGAGCGGCACTGCAACTGGTCCATACCACAGGAGTGTAACTTACCACCAGGTGCATGTCTTGTTTGTCCTGTAACTTGGTATCATAAAAAAATACACAAACAAAAGTCCCGATGTGGGGCCTGGGGTCTTCTATAAAGGGGCATTTAAGCTCAAGGTCAACCAGGTGTTCATCCATTGCCTGTACAGAGCTTCACATATCTTTGAAGACTATGTAAACCTTCTATTACATTGTGACGTCAGTATATTCAAATTAAATCTACTTCCTTGCATTTAAACTTAATATTCAATAAGCCAAGAACAGGCTCGGGATTATGCCAAAAATCAATTATTCAGAACATAAGGAAGGGCTTATTTGCATTCAAACATAGCTGTATGATATTATAAAAGTATATTTTTTTTAATTAAATTATTAGTGCGGCTTCATTCAGGTTGTGGCATTTATTTATGGCAATCGCCACTGATTACAACTTGGAACCATCATCATTAAATCATTTATACGTCCCACTGCTTGGCACGGGTCTCAGGTTTAGGCCGTACTTCGCCATGCTAGCCCAATGCAGGTTATGCTCCATCCACCACGTTTCATTCATCATCCAATCCACGTTTTCCGAGGATTGTAAATCTTCTTCCACGTGTGGAAAAGCTTATGGTGAAATTAAATTTCGCATTAAATTCCGAGAAACTCAAGAGGTGCTAGCCCGGATTCGAACCCACGGCCACCGCTTGAGATGCAGTAGATCCATTAGACTACCACGGCTTTGTTTTGCTTGGAGCTAAGGGTTAAAGAAAGACAAACTGCCTCCGTGGCCGAACGATTACCACGCCTGACTACCACGCAGAGGTCCCAGGTTCGATTCCCGGGCCCAGATAATTATTTATATGGCCTACATTTATTTCTCTCGTGAGTTTGGGTGTAATTTGTGGTTGTCTATGTATGTGTCCATGGCACCCACGACATAGGATTTCCCTATTGCGGGGCTATGTTGAGTGTGTGCGTTATTATTATTATTTTCCTGTTTTCTTCTCTTCTGATTTGGGCATAAGCTTCCCCCGTAACGAGAGTAGTGTCCATTAAGAGGCAGCATTGGTTAACAAGTTGCATAAATAGTTAAGGTGGCAGTACTTTCCTTGACGAACTCCTCACACAAAGAACTATACTGCTACTTTATAGCATGCAAATAAATTCGTGCGGAAATGCGATTTGAACTTTATAGCCAAAATAGTATTATTATTCACGGCCTATACTGACAGCAATAATACTATCAAATCGCTCAATCAGTACACACACAAGGCCTCCAAAGTTTCTTAATATCGCAATTCTTGACGTATTATTTGTTCTAGCAAATATTTGGCAACTCTATAAACTCTACAATATAATCTCAGTATAGTGTACTAAAGATCCTCAAAAGTTTGTGGAATCGGTTACCGGCAAGTACGCGAAACCGGATTCATCCCCTAATTTGCCACCCTTAGAGGTGGAATATTTTCTTCTTTAAATGGGACCACTACTCTTTCCAACAAAAAAATAATCATCAAAATCGGTTAACAGTTTTTTATTTTTGATTGGAATTATCGCGGAACAAAAAAATATACAGACGTATTGAGAACCTCCTACTTTTTTTTAAGTAGGGTAAAAAAGGAGTATATTTTGTCAACTGCACTAACACTTCAGAGACAATAAAACCTAAGGGTATTAAGTTAAGGTTTACTTTACACATGAAACAGTTTATATTTATGATGTCATAACAGTCTTCTGAGCACGTTAAAATAGCACACTTTAAAACTCTCTTGCAGGAAAAACTTGACAATCGCCAAAATAATGAGCATATCGAAAAAAAACATTTATAGTACTGTTGAACTGAACAATTTTATAATTTGATATTTAAGGTAGTACACATTAAAATGCGGGAATGGTTAAAAATAAACAGATGAAAAAAAAACATATGTTTTTATTTACACATACAACGCTTTTCTTCTAAATATTTAACCATAGTAAACAATTTCAAGCTCCACTTTAATGTATAGAGCAGAAGCAATGCAACATTTCTTGAATTTCAGAGAGTATTCACTATTTGAATATTACTTCCTTGAAATGTATGTAAAAGTCTGCCTTTTCCAATCTCTGGTGATTAACTATTTAACGTTCTTTGGATTCTTCATAAATGTATAAACATTTGGTAGACGACTTTTGCCATTTGCAATGACCAATACATTTGCAATTGATTACATGCTAGTTGTATATTTAAAAATGTATAAATAAGGTAAATTATTACAAGCAAATACATTAAACAATGTCTTCAAAACATGCCATGCCGTTGTTAAAAATATTATTAAAATATGTAGTTGAATAAATTAATTTGTCATTTTAAATAGCATTTTATTAGTTGTAGATACTTTGACGGCCTCGGTGGCCCAGCGGTTACGCCAAATGAGGTCACGGCTTTGATTCCCGGTAAAACCAATTCTAAAAGATCTAAATGGTCTGGTCAATGCGTTTGTATGGTACATTATTTTTGTAAGTGCTTAATTAGAAAAAAAATATCTTGTAATGTCATTGCAGCATAATTGTTGTAGTATTTGTTTATGTCACTGCAATGTTTTTCTCTCCAACAGTACTTTGCACTGACACCTTGATATATGTTGATATCTATAAAACAAATTATTAACAACAGCTTAAATATACAAACAAATAATGATAACTTGTCTAGTCTCACAGCAGATTTTATGAACATATCTTTATTATCACAATATAACTATCAATATAACATTAATAATAGATTATTAGACTTAGTTGTTTGTAGTAAAAATTGTTTAGTTACACCTTGTAAATATCCTTTAGTACCCGAAGATCCGCATCATAAATCTCTAGAAATTGACTTAAATCTGAACTACCCCTTGAAGATAGCACCTACCACTAGAAAAAGACAATTTTACAAATCAGACTTCACTCACTAAAAACATCATTACGTGCTATTAAATGGGAACGAATACTAACCACAATGAGAGATGTAGAATCTATGACAAGTTACTTTTATGAACTTATTAACAATCTTATATGTTAACATGTTCCCAGGTGTAATTTAAATAATAAACAACATTATTCGCCCTGGTATTCAAGACCTCTTATCTCTTATAAAACTTTTAAGAGAAAAATAAATACCACAAAAAATGGCAACCCTATGAGAATTTCAGATGTGACCATACTGTTTCTATGTTAAGAAAGAGATTAAAGACACTAGAACAAAAACATACAAAAATTATATATCCTTTTCCGAAAATAAGATCAAGGAAAGTCCAAATCCAAATCATTTGTAAAATGAAAAAAATCTAATTCTGATATTCCCGAAAGCATATTTACGTATAATGAACGAGTTCATATGAACGAGTTCATATGAACCCTGTCCCTGCACCGGTATTCCCGCGCCCAGAACGCTTCCACGGCCGTCTCTGTGTAGCCAGAGCATAAGGGTCCGTGTAATAAACGCTGGGGGACCATAGAGAGCCTACCTGACATAATGCATTAAAAATTGGCATACATGGCATACGTTGTGAGTAAACAGGTAATGTGAGCATGACCTTTTTGATTTTTTACGCCCTTTGAAATGAAATTAAAGAACGTGGACATTACATGTCCATATAGTGTTAGTATGTACTTACAACTATGTTAGTAGAATGCAAAGTGTTAATTTTGTTGGCCATCCATTATTGGAGCGAGCGAGTCGCGCGTCAATGCTATCTGCGAACCTTTTTTCTTCTTCATTTTCTCGGAAAGGGTCCGTGGACTCTTTGTGATTTTGAGAAGTGTCCATGACTAGAAAAAGATTAAGAAATTAGATATGATTATGATTAATTGACATGAAAAGAAAATGCGATATACCACTGCAACTACTTATCTTTATTTATGGCTCATTGTATTTAATTTTAATAAGTACTTCCTTTTCACTTATCAAACTTATCATATAGGAAATATTTGCTGCGATTAATCTTATTCTCAAAAAATTGATAAAGCCATAAACAAACAATAAATGTGCACTAAAAAAATGCGACCTCGCCATCCCAACGGTTAGCATTGTGGGCTCTAAAACGAGGTTGCCTCGGTTTCAGTTCCTGGTAGAACCAATAAATTGAAAATGAAATGAAAATAGTTTATTTGCAAGCAGCCACGGTTCCATCTTTAAAACATTACGAAATTCACAAGAACGCAAAATCGACACCGTACAAACGACATGCTTGTACAAGTGGAATTAAAATAAATAATCGAAAAAAACCACAGTCGATTAAGTTTTTGTTTTCAAATTAGATCTAAAACAAGGAAAATAACCGACCGGACTTATGAACGTTTGGTTCAGCATTATTTTTTTAGATTGTATTGTTTTACATTAACGCAACGAGTTTTGGGTACGAGTTTAGAAGTGCCGAGTTCGAAATTTTGTCGTCGAGATTTTTTTAATAGTGCAATTGTTTTTAATACAGGTGGACAGTTCACATGGAAGGTGTTCCCGGCACACTATATGAGGGCGAAAAATTTGTCCTGCAGTTCAAATTCACAAACAAATACCCGTTCGACTCACCCGAGGTAAGTTAGCAATGCGTCATTTATAAACCAATAATAAAATAATAATAAATAATAATAATAAACTTTATTGCCAAAAGATACAAATCTAGTACATAGTTGTGCCTAGCTCCCAAACTAGAATCCCCTGTACTATGGGTAGGTAGGTCTTTCGTCCGAATCATTACTGCCTTAAATAATTTAGAATTATGAAGCGAATTTACAAAAATATGATAGTAATAATTACCTAAAACTTATATAAAGAAAAAAGATAAAATATGTGAGGGTAAATCAAATATGTAACTTAATTATCAAGATTTTTACACAGCCAAAAATATCAAAATACTTTAAAATAAACAACAAAAGCAATAAAAGTCAGCTTCGTTATGTTAGGTGATGCTGTTCTTGGCAGTCGTCTTCATAAAGTCTCAAGTTTATTTAAGGGGCAATGTATACGCTTCTATAATAAGATTCCGATTGATTTTCTAAATTTTCCATTTACGAGGTACTATAAACTATAGTGAAACAAAAACTTGAATCGAATGGTTATTATACAACTTCAGTGTACTTGGATGAAAAAAGAAAATCCGTGGTGACGGTTAACTCTTGCAGGTAGTCTCGATCTAAGTTGTTTAAATTAAATATTGTAATAATAAATGTATTCGAATGTATATTTACAAAGAGCAACCCCTAGAGTTTCTTGCTCATTCTTCTCAGCGGAATCTGCCTTACCAATGTGCAGTAGAGTTTAATCAGTATGACTACTTCAAGTGTAATTAGCTTACCTATGACATGAAGATTATTTGACTTTGATCACGGAAATAATGACACAACTATACCATATAAAGCGAAAATGGCGGACTTAGCTCAGATAGGTTTTTCCAGACAACTATAGAGTTGGCACGCGTCAGACGCTAACTAACCACTTCTGTGTTTACTGTTCTGTGACTTTGATAAGGTTCAATGTTCTATGCTACAAACAGGAATTAACAGTGACAGTTGTCGATTTTTATGACAAATTGTAAGCTCTTTAACGGAGCCAAAACAATCCTTTTATTCTTAATAAGGTATCATTTAGCCCAGGGGTGGAGAAACATTTTTCATTAGGGGCCAGAAAACACTATAGAAATTGAACAGGGGTGACATCTTTCACGACACGAAACTAATTTTAAAGCAAACCTAGCCTATTAAATATGTAGTACATATAACGTCGGTGATATTGCAATTATGCCTAACAAGCGTTGGATTATAAGTTTCCCTTTCGGTAGTAGTGGCCAAATCAAATCCGCGTAAGCGCCCAGTTACACGAGGCGAAAGTTTTCTGAATTCTATTTACTAGGCAACAACATTTAAATTCCTCTAAATAATATAATCGAGCGGAGTCCGCGTTGCCGCCTCGTGGCCCCGGCGTAGACCAAATTCAAACCAGACTGGCCCGCGTGCCCGGGACGCTCATTTAAGTTAAAACGTAAAAGCTAAATGTACAGAGCGTATTTTGCCATGACAGTTAAACGCATGCGGTCTATATAAAATAATAACGTTAAACCTCTCCCCTGTAAAATTTGATTTAGTGCAGATACGCACCTTTCACTACATACGCGGATTTGCACTTTCCCCGATGAAAGTAATTAGCATGTAAGTGTTTAGGTTGTTACTGTAAGTTTACAAACATTTTGTTTTTATAAATAAATGTATTCAGAAGAATATAGAACGATATATTATCGGTAGATGAACACATGCTTCTCAATTGTGAGGTCAGCTATTCGAATCCCTGTATGTACCACTTTAATTTCTAACTGACGTTCATTTGTGAGTACTTAGTAAGTCATACCTTTCGCTAGCTATGAATCATGGCCAAAAAGCTTGACATCCTTTCCAAGGTGAGGCGCTACTTCATACTGGGTCAGTCCCGCATCTGCCTACATATTCTTTTTTGCTTTATAGTGACCCTCTCTATCAACCTTTTGGTTATACGGGAAGGTCACTATAACCTGTTCAAACAAGCCGCCCAGGGACCTTCTAGTCAGGTCCTGACCCCTGATCAGCCCGTTTGCAAAAACTTCATCCGGTTTTCAAAAGGGTGTTATTGCCTTGTCCCTATTTTCCAAATAGGTATCGGAACTGTTAGGCATGCTTACTTCCCGTTGTGCGTCGCACATTGCACAAAGCATACACCCCTAAGCCGTTGACTCTAAAGTTCCCTACAAAATCTCCTCTGATGGCGGAGCTGTAGGCACGCTTCACACTGGGACTGATGACCAGCTGTACCAAGCACAAGTCCGGTTGTGTGTGAAATGCTGCTGCCACCTATGGGATGGTTCTATCAAATACCAAATGGCCACCTTGGATTCAGTTGTAAAGAGTGTAAACAATGCGTAAAATTACCTGCCTATAGGTATTCTACAGGATATATTATATCACGGAGAGCGTGCGATGCAATTGCATGGTTTAATTGCATTATCGAGGGACTTGACGCAAGGGGGAGTTCCACTCCTATGTTGTGGATATTCGAAGGATTGGCACAAAGCGTTTCGCTTCCACATTTACGCGAACGACTATGGAGTGCAATTTCTTGCCCGCAGACTTTTTCCCTTAATATAACTTTTCAAGACGAGAGTAAATAGGGATTATTTAGGCGCAAATGCTCCATCGTCGATTTCATCGTTATCTTTTATCAGGTGAGATGAAGGTCAAATACGCACTTATTTTTTTTTTATAAATAACAACCTGGTTGTCCAAAAAGTTTACAACACTAGGAAAACGTGTGAAGTTGGGGCTATGAATCTCGAATGATTCTACCTTATTCGCTGAAGCTGGCAATTCTGCTCTTGTAACAGCACCTCCGAATTCATAGTCTGTGTTATTTGTTGTTTAATACAGATAAGGCCCAGTGATAAGATTTCTGAATGAGTAACACGATAACGGCCCGGCGCTCACCGCTTCTGGTGACAATTGTTAGTTAATTGTCATATTTATTAGTGACTTATTGTCTCGATTGCGGTTAACGCGAACTAAACCAAATTTAAAATTACTGTCTTTAACTGCTGCTCCTTTAATATGAATTAGCGAATAGAGATACGGTCTGGTATAATATAAAACAAAATAATGTAAAAAAAAATATTATTGAATAATTTTGTTTGATTTTTATAAACATAATAAACTTTGTCAATGGTGTAACGTGTAAACTAGATATCCATGCGCCAAAAACAAAGCCTTAAGTCTAATTTTCTTGAAATCATTGGTCATTGTAATTCCATTGAGTTTCCAATGAAATTATATTGCAATTAGAACTAGTTAAACAAAAAGGATCCAATGCAAATCCAGTCGCTTTCGAGATATGGCAGTTTGAAGTTTAAAAGCGTTTCTCATTCTTGTTTTATTTTCAAAACTTATAATGTCACGTAACTCCAGAGATATTTATTTATGTTTATATGTTGGATTTTTTTTTTTGCTGATCTAAGAGATTAGACTTTAGGAACTGTGTGGTACATGTTACTAATTTTTTGATAACTTTGTGGATTGGAACCTTTTTGCTTAATTACGTTCAATTATGATAAATAATATTGGTTATTCTGCTAAATTATCTTTTAGTAGTAGAGTCCCTTGTGAAAGAGTTCCTCCAGGGAAGTACTGCAACCTATTTCTGCCATACAGTAATGTGAGCTGCGTTCCGGTTTTGAAGGGTGAGGGTGCTGATGAAATTACATTGGGACTTGCCAACTTAGGCCTCAGGATGATGAGTGCAGGGGCGGTGCTCCACAGATCTTTGTTATGTAAAGCTCTGTGTGCCACTGCAACTGTTACGGACAGGCGTGTCGCTTACCATCAGACGCACGACTCGTTCGTCCCGTCACTTGAAATCATACAAAAAAAATATATTATGAAATATTGTTTGCATACACTTATCACAAACAACATTTCCTAATATATTATTATCATACAAAAAAATATGCTATAAAATGTTGTTTGCATAAACGTAACTTATCAGAGTAAGCCTCCCCAGCGAGCCCCGGAAATGAAGAACTCTGATTGAGAAATTCCACATAACAAAATTGTTCTTAGAGTTATTTACCGCAACTTCGCAGTTATGTTTAGTAATGACTGTACGGTCATCGTACTTATTGAACTAAAGATTGCTGTATAAACATGTTCTAGTTTTCGACTTATTGTGTTAACGTGGTGATTCAAATTTCATTTTAAATTTACCTCAAAGTCAAAGTAAAATAGTCTTAAAATAGTGGCGAAAAAAAAAAAATTGAAAGTCGATATTCAAATGTTTCAAATTTAAAAAAAAAAAATCACAGAAACCATTTGAAAAAAGTTTCATTCGAAAACCTCAAACCATGAAGATTCTAAAAAAAAAAAATAGTCTTTATTTCACAGGTAAGCAAATTACACTTCAAATCGTTATACTGGTTAAACTCTCATTCGTAAGGCAGATAGATTCCCTTGAGAAGTATGAGCACGAAACTCTAGAGGTTACTCTTTGTAAATGAACATTTATA